TTTTTTTTTAGGCGGTCTAGGCATCGTCGAGGCACGCAATTCATTCGTAATTATGTGGAATAACTAATCGAATAAAAAACATGAATTACAGGCCACTAGGTGAAATTCACAGAAATTTTTAGCTCCGAGATTGTTCGAATCCCTTACGCCCTACTCACTCCCAAATATTCTCCCTTTTGTAATAAAAAATGGTAAACGTCTTAGGAAATTAATCAAACTTACGTCATTACGATAAAAAAAAAACGTATAAACCCTACCTTACTCCAGGCATCATTGAATGAAAAAATCATCAATCATAAGTATTCATAATTATTTTCAACCTTCAAATAATTACAAACCCCTTATCATCAACAAAATTCAAATGATTGAAACCCAATAAATATCGTCAGTTGAATCCATCAATTTTCCATCTAACTACTCTCTCATTCTTCCCAATACATATCTCCAAATTTACTTTGTTAAACAATTAGATTGTTGCTTCGCAGGATTATGTATCGTCATTGCCAATTTATGACTGAAGACAGCGAATATTTCCCGTAAATACGCAAATACTATGGCAATTGGAAAATCCAACTCATGATGAAGGAAGATATTCTATGTAATTGTGTGTAATTCGATTGACACTATTTAATCTCGTCAAATGGTGAAATAAAAATTATGAGATAATTAATAATTACGAAGCTTTGATGTGTGATGTCAACGAGTGGGCAGATAGCGCTCTTCTTATTTTTTATATATCGAGACTTCCTCGTGCTGTCATATTTTTTTGGGCATTTGTTAGACAGCTCGGTGGAGATAGCTCATGAGACTCAGGGTGACGACGAGGGAGAGGAAGGTCGCTAGATAGGTGGATGAAGTGGTGCCTGTGCCATTGCACTTGTCCTTGCTGCAGAGGCCGCAGAATTCCACCGATATTGCTTTTTCAGGAATATTCATTGCAACTTGCTCCACCTTTTTGCACGGATCCAGAACCGCTGTCTTTTTCGACTGGCAGGTCCTCATGGTCTTCACCTCGTTGTTCACTATTATTGATTATAAATTACAATTAACAATTAATCTATAAGACTCTCGTTTCTATTTTTTATTTGTGTACACTGGGATAATATTTATACCCATGAATATTTGCTGCATGGAATTACATTTTTACCGAATAGGTGAAATCGTGAAATTTAATTAAATATTTGGTATGTGATATTTTTTTTTTGTGGAATTACGGGAGTTATGGGGTGGGTTGGGTCTGATAAATTTGTCGGTTGGGGTTGAATTGATCTTTTTTGAGTCTCGATAATTTTTTATAGTTATTTCCGGTGACTACAATGAGTAATTCGGACCTTTGAGTTCGAGCTTGAGGCAGGAGAATTGCTCCAGGTCTGGCGATGGGTACGTGCTCGGTGCAACTTCGAAGACTGAAGCCAAACCATACAACTCTGTATTATGAATCATCTTGTTGTGCCACTTATTCAGTACAGATTGTGAACAATTAACCACATCCTTGTCACCCTTTTGCGTTATGAAATCACCCTTGCACCTGTCATCGGCCAGGGCATGTGACACGCACTCGTAACATTCTAGAGCTTCTCCTGAAAAATCAAAACAGGGGCACAACCGGATGTTATGTCGAACCAATGAGCGATCAATACTGAATTCGAAAATACATGAAAAATTGCTCTCAACTTTTCCGATATTTCAGTTGCGATGCGAACGGTGGAAAAAGTTTGGAAAAAATTACGTGACAACTCGCGAAATCGCGGGGCAGCATTCCTATTTCAATTATTTTCACGTACCTGCGATTCCCGGAATTTTCTTCAGTTAAAAGATAATTTCAATGAAATTACAAGAATTTACTTTGATTACAAGAAAATATTTTAATTACCCTCCCGCGTATTTTTTTTTTGTGAAAAAAAATTCGGAGAATTCGTAATTCTTATTATTCCCTCGATAAATTCATGTGAAATTAAATAGAAATGACTTTTACAAGGAACAAAAATATACTCCGATGAAATACGCGAAAAGCCACACCCATATATTCCAACTTTTATCATCGTAATTTTCCATGGGTGCGTGTTCCTCCAGTGTACACTATTTCATTACGAGATTGTGATCGTGAATATATATCGTTATTATACGAACCCCCGGAGAAAGAGCTGAGAAGTCATGGGAGAGATTGAAGAGGTCGAAAAAAAAAATGAGAATAAAGTACACGAGGGCATAACGAACGCCTCCACCCTTACGTACCCTAATCACCCATTGGCCACTCAACTAGTGTACAGAGAGTAATCAGCTGATTATCTCAATCAACCACGCCTTTCATTCCTCATGAAAATTAATGCCTCATCGAACATTTATATTTTTTTCCCCCGGCTGATGAATATTCTAGAGTATTAAATTCCCCCCCTCGCGTGCCGACGACACTATTCATCCAATTGGAAATGTAATTAAGTCCCTGACGACGTCGCGAATGCAATTTCATTTTTGTTATTTTTACTTTGACAATTCACGTTTCATTTTTATGATTCATTCAAGTGGTAATTAAATTATATTATTAATTATTATAGAGGAATTAATTGAATTTACCATTTTAGACTGACAGCTAGTTAAATTAATGAAAAAAACAGGGAGGGAATGGTGAGTCATTAAAATAATCGATATGAAATGAAAAATGGGAAACGAGTTATCGAAACGTGATACCCTTTTTCGAATATCCCCTGGGGAACTGGAAATATTGTCCGGAAATTATTTCAGCTGTCCTAGCCCGGCAATTAAATATCGTTAAAAAAGAAACGCCGCATATTGTGATGGCCTCACCAGGCGAGGGTAGGCTTGTCCCTCGAAAAACAATCGATAATGATAATAATCCATACAAGGGACGCCTCAAGGTACGTCAGGAGACACCCGGATAACAGATGTGTTGGGGTTTCACCAGCTCTATGTCTGTATTTTTGGTCAGCGGTATTAACAAAGTTGAAGGTGAAATTTTATACAACTTCAGCACGATACAGAATAAATTGGGT